ATATATATATATATATATATATATATATATGCTGATTTTGTGTTCAAGAGACATTTTTTGTATGAATAATTTTGAAAACATCTATGTATGCAGTGTAATATTTTAATAAAAAACAATAATACTTTTATTCAGGACTGTTTGATTAAGAGAAAGTTCAATGTTTCAATGTAAAAGCCTATACAGTAATTTCACTGCTGAATAAAAGTATATTTTTGATAAATAATTATAAATTCTTACAGACCCCAAACTTTGATGGTTGCCCTTCTTGGCACATGGCAGATATACAACCAGTAAAACATTGGACACACTTGACTGAACGTATGTTTATCTTAATATATCTCAGGACTAAAGAAAGCAGGTTCTAAATTAAGATTTGTTCTTCATTTTGGTCACTACATAATTCCCAGTTGTGTTATGACGACTATTATTCTAACATGTGGAAAAATAGCAAAAACAAAGACTAAGTAGGTGCGTCCAAACTTTTGACTGATGGTATGGAAGTCTAAAAAGTTTGCTTGTTTGTTCATTTGCAAACTTTGCTCAGTATTTTAAGCCCAACAAGATATACCCTAGGCACAAGAGAACAAAGAAAAGTCTAAAATGTGATTCCTGCTGTGAGCTCTGGAGTTCTGGAGGCAATGTACAATGTAACATCCAGCATCTGAGTATAACCAATATTCAGACAATTTCTGATAAGGTCTTCAAACTCTTTTCTACACTGACCAACTTCAAAATCCTAGAAAACTTTACCAGTTGAAGCAAACATGCCATTAATGGCATTATGATAATCACGGATATATTGATTTTGATTGCTCAAGACTCAATTTATGAAGCTCAACAGGAGATATTGACAACAACTTATTGACAAGTTAACTAGTTAGACCGGTATTTTGAATCTGCTTGCTACTTTTGCTTGACAGTTTGAGATTTGCAGCCAAAAACAATGCCCATTCCTTAGACAAAAATGATCAACAAAACCAAGTTTTAATATGGTTTGTACATTCAGCAACTGGACCTGCAAAGAAGAAACTGCAAGCAGTGTAAATCTAATGAGAAGACATTACCTGTGTGACCAACGGCTCCAGCAACCTCTCCACAGTCAGTGTGCGAATCTCAAGACTTTTGGGGTCCCATTTTAGCAGGATCGGGGACGTAGCGCTCGTCATGTTTACTGTGGGAAGAAAATAAGGGGAATGAATATCTGAAAGGATGAAAGAGATGTTAAAAACAAAGAATGACAGTTTAATAGGATGATAAAAGGAAAAAGGTGCAGACATCACAGACTCAGTTATCAGTTTCATGCTTCATGACTTTCTTAACAAAATCAGAGGCCGGTGAGCCTGCCGCACATCTATTATTGAAGCCAGAAAAGCTTCTTCATTGAAAAGTCTTTAAATGTTGCATAACAATCTCACTAAAACGCTAAAATTGTGACTATAAAATATTGAGACACCGCATTACATTAAAAGCTAATGACTTCAGAATGAGTCTTAATGTGGGATCCATACATTGTTGTGCAAGTCAGACTGTATTATCTCACTTTTAATGAGGAAAAACAAACACAGAGACTAGAGGGATCATAATATATTACCCAGAAAGTGATATAAATTTCTCAAATATTAATTATGAACCTAAAACAGTCGCAAAGTTCTCAAACATCACAAACTTTTAAATTAATTTGGTATCTGAGTTCCTAGATATCACATTCCTTTGATAAAATAGTTGAAGATTTACAGTATTCATTTACTGAATCTATCTATCTATCTATCTATCTATCTATCTATATCTATATCTATATCTATATCTATATCTATCTAATACCTTAAAAGTCTGTTTTCTTTTTTTAATATACATTTATTCATCAGGGGTGCATTAAATTGATCATAAGTGACAGTAAAGACATGTATAATGTTACAAATACAAACATATTGTATTTCATAAAACATCAGCATATTAGAATGACTTCTGAAAGATCATGTGACACTAAACACTGGAGTAATGTCCGCTGAAAATTCAGTTTTGCCATCACAGGAATAAATTATATTTTAAAGTATTTTAAAATAGAAAATAGTTCATTTAAATCATATCTCACAAAATTACAGTTTTTACTGTATTTATAATCAAATAAATGTAGCCTAGATGAGTATGATACTGTTCAAAACATAACAAATAAATGCTTATTTATTTACTTACTTTTATTTTATTTTATATTATTTTATTTTTATTTTTTATGTTTTATTTTTTGACCCAAAATTTTTAATGGTAGCACACTCTTTGTAAGTATAGAATAGGATTATGTGTGTAACACATGCTCAAATTTTGATAACCTGTTGTAAAATATCTGTAGCCCACCAAATTTGCACTTTCTAAACGATGGAAAATGTTTCAGTACAGAATAGGGTAAGTACATAAGAGACAGCTAAAGTGCTGTTTACATATACTTACAGTAAGACATAGTTTACAAATTTATATCTTGCCAAGAAGGGCATTTTGAGATGCTGCCATAAGTGTGAGCTTGTGCATGAAGTCATGATGACTTCTTTAAGTGTCATATAAGGTCAAAAGCCACCTTGCTAGAATCAACTAATTGAAAAAAAAAAAAAGAAAGATTTTGGAGAACTCAAAAACTAGAAACTCTCTACTCATGATGCCTTAGGTCAGTGGTCGGCAACAGGTGGCCCGCGGGCCAAAACTGACCCGCCAGCAATAATATCTGGCCCGTGCCCGCAGCCAGATTATTTTGATAGCGGCTGGTTCTGAAATAGATCTGTCATGACAGCAACAGTTACTCTCAATCAGAGTATGTGAGCGGAGCGCGGAGTGGAGCGGTGTGATTTTGAATGGAGCTTTTCACTCGCTCCAAGAACACTCCACCACCGCTCCATCACGAGTACAATTCATGCCAACAGCCCGTAATATAACTGCACATTTAGCAAGAATTCACATGTTAAACATATTTAGCTAGCTTGATAGGGAAGGATCACTTAAATCAGAAAGAATGTGAAGCTATATGATGACGGCAATGGACATAAGCGGGAAGTTATAGTTCTCAAGGAATTAGTTTGTTCCTTCTAGATACTGAATATTTTCATCTGAAAGCACGATTTAAACAAGTACTACAACACTTATTCACACGCAATCGCTCTCTCAATTAGGGCTGGGCGATATAGCTAAAAAATGTATCAGAACTGCGCGTCTCGTGGGCTAGGCTAACAAAATATTAAAATGCAACAACGTCACTTACATCATCATCACCGCATCTCGCGCACCACTGATGACGCTCCCTGATGCACACCTAACATTCAAATGGAAATGTTTATTTTAAATTTGTCTAATATTCATTCTTTATTCACAATCTCCTCATCACAGGTAGGCACAGTACTCATTTCAGCATGTGTTCGTGTTTGTGTGTACTGTCTGCGTCACTAATAGCACGTGCCTATATAGTGCGCTATATCGAAAACATTTTCTATCGATATCGAAGAAGGTGTACCGTCGATAAATATCGATATCGTTTTATCACCCAGGCCTAATTCTGGATAAATTGAGTTTTTTTTCTCTTTTTCTTTTCCCCAAGG